AAGTGGCGCAACGGGCGCATAAAGCCTGTTGCACGAATGCGTACCCCGCAGTGAGCGAACCAGAGATCGCCGAGTGCCTACTCGAGTTACTCGCCGCTCGCTCGTTCACAATTGTGTCACCCTGCAGCCATTCCCCTTAACCCACCCTCTGTTGGTCGGCCAGCGGCTCGACGATTCACAAACTGCCGTGTAATAACACGACCCACCGGCGCGGCGCAGCGCGGCGCAGCGCGGCGCGCTGTTGCTCCGTAGGCCGAGCAGAAGAGGCTTTTTTCGAAATCGACCAGCTGGGAGCACCGTCGTTGTTGTCGCCTCGTCCCTGTTGCACCCTAATTTTCCTGTTCCTCGATTCTATGTACGACTTTTCAATTGCGAAACGTAAACGTTAGCATTTCAACGAACCTCGCTCGTGGATAACTCACTCGTCAGCGGTGGCGGACGCGCGTTATCGAAACGCGAAAGCCCGTCTGTGCTTGAGTACATCAAAAGTAGAAGGAGCCTGGTCTGATCAACTACTTACGTACAATTTTATCGCTCGACATTTGTCAACGTTACACATTTTTTTCCTTGCTTTTCGATGCGATTACCGTTGTTCTGTTTCTGTAGTTCTTTCATGAAAGTTTCGGGTAGATTCTCTTCGTGGAAAAGAAATTCGAAACGGTAAAGACAAAGACTACGAAGAACATTGAACAGGAGGGAAGAATACGTCGCAGTCGCGGTCGGGGCACATCGACGGTCGACGCGCATTCTTGGAGCGCGTGGACGGCAATTTTGCGGCAGAAGGACGCCTTCACAATTAGCGGTATCTACCGACGAACGAAGGATGGATTCTTCTTGCAGAGCCGAGTCCCACGCGGCAGCCCGAAGGGATCCTCTCCTTCTCGGTTTTGTCGTTAAGAGAGAGAGAGAGAGAGAGAGAGAGAGAGAGAGAGAGAGAGAGAGAAGTATCCTTCCCTCGCAGAGAGGTAACCGAGAAACCGAATGAATTTCAGCCAGCGGTGTTCCACCCTTTCACTTCCCTTCCCTTCCGTGGTCTCTGTGTCCATCTTTCTTTCTCTAAGCCGACTCTTTCTCGTATTCCTTCCCGCCATGGCTCCTCCAGAACCGGAGACCAACCTGTTATTAAGGGACCCTGGCGATTAGATTGCGCTAATGGCGAACCGCTGTCTCCTTCCGAGGGAAGAATCGGCCAGCTCTGCTTCTCTCTTTTCCTTTTTCTTCGACTATCCAACGTGATTTTTCATCGCGACTACCACTCCTTCTGAGACTTACGACACGGAGAAAACATGTATCCCGTTGTCGAAAATTTAGCAGCGTATCGCAAGTATTCGTAAAGTATTAAGGACGAGATTTTTTCGGACCGTAGCTCCGACACTGGCGTGATTCCATTAAGGGAAAGCTCTTCGCTGATCCTACTTCCGTCACCCTCTTCGTCGTGGCGATTCCCTCTCGCCTAGGATTCACTCACGCCAACACTCTTTTAAGCGCCTCGTATTTCCCGTGGGAACGCGACAGTCCTCGACAAAGGCACGAAAAACGTTTAATAAATAAATTGATCGGGTTTCTCCCTTCCATAGCGTGTCTCATTTTCCTTTTCTCCACTATCGCTTCCCTGCTCCCCGCTACATCCTGGTTTATCCTGTTCTTCCGTTCAGAACTGTACAGGCCTTTTCGTCCTCCGGAAATGCGACACCAAAGGCTACGATTCAACTCACGTTTCATTAGCTGGCTAATGCCAGCTAAACGAGACCATTTCTGCTGGGGGAGAACGTTATCTATACATTTATCGAATATTATTCTTTCGTCGTTACCATTCTATCGAAATCTATAATCTGCGCCCGCTGGTGCATTATTTGTTGCGCGACTCATTCCCGGTACAAAGTCTAAAACAGAACTCTGTCGTTATCTTAGTAAGCGAGAGAACGTTTGCGAAGCAACGGAGAGTGGATGCCGATTGATGGTGAACACCATCAATGATGAAGAGAAATCTATCTAATTTCGAAATTATAAGCGGTAGAAACCAGCAAGAGAGCAAGAGAGGAAACGAAAAAACCCTCTATCTCCATTTATTTGCGAATGCATGTACTTTACAGATGTAGAGACCGCGTAAAGAGAGGAATGAATAATTTGCGTTCTAGGCGGAACGTAATCTACTAGATTGCGAGGCACCAAAATTGCCGGGTTAGGAGAGAATCGCTGGGTTGAACTCGACTCGTCGTCGGTTTTGAGAAAAGCAACGTGCCATTAGCGGTGGTCGGCGAGTCGAGTCGAGTCGAGTCGAGTCGAGTCGAGTCGAGTCATAGTCGGTCTCCCTTAGCCTGTGCCGTGTCGATATCAGACATGCACGCTGGACGGCGAGTCATCGGCGAATAATGCGCGGCTGAAGGGTGTGTCCTTACGAAACAAAGGGAAGAAGCCATTCTTCTTTTGTTTCGTCGAACGCGGAAGAACCGGAACGGGGCTTCCCGTGACGAGGCGTACTCGCGAATGCGCAAGCCGCGCCGCGCCGCGTCGAACCGAGCCGAGCCGCTTCCTTGATCTTAGCTCGACCGAAGCATCCTGCTCGTATCCTTCTTCCGGCTTCATCCTCTTCCTCATCCCGCGACAGGCTGTCTGCTCATGGAGGAAACCTACCTTGAGAGATTACAAGTGGAGAGGGTGAGAAATGAAATCTCGGTGTTACCGTTGCGTTCCGCGACGTTATTACAACATTTCCCCTACTCACTTATGCGCGCATCAAGTACCAATAGCAACGCGAGTCGAAGAGGAAACGAATCGTACATCCGATGCGCGATGGTACAGAGCGTTGCAACTTTTATTACTTATTCGGATTGAGCGGATTTCTCTGCGGAATGCCGTTGTTCGATAGCGTAATTATGCGACGCAGCATGTCGTGAACGTGACAGAGCTCGAGAAACGCGAGTTCCGATACGATGGCGTCACGTGCGGCAGAGGAACTTTCGTAGCCGAATGCGCGACACGTGTTCGTAGGCTGTGGGTGCTGCTGGACCCGCATCGTTTCAAGGTCCAAGAATACTTGAACAGCCGGCGCGGCGGCGTGCGTCCCGGACATCAAAGAAAGAGCTCATCGATATACGGAAAACAACGAGAAAATTTAGCAGACAATACGAGTCGGTGTTTCGCGAGTCCAAGTTCATCTCCGGGACCTCTGAATTACGAAGAATATACTGTACCGTCTAGTGGAGTTGCGAGGATAGCGGACACGTTCCAGTGCGGAATGCACCAGCTGCACGCGTGTAATCTGAGCGTTAAAACGCGTTCGTTGGCGTTACCACTCCGTTAAGTGATGTGGTAAATTCGTCGAAAATCAGATCTCCCGGAGCTAGACTTGAGCAAATGAAATCGAGACGAATTTTGTCCGAATTGGGTCGATATAGAAAATTATTCCTACCACTGTTTGAAACATGGAAAAAATTCATCGAACGTCTTACGATCTCGGCTTCTCGGAATGTTCCTCTCGAGGATGGTTGAGGCAAACGTAGGGCCCCGAGCAGAGTATCGTAGACCCTGCACCAACACCCCCGCTGAGAGGCAGCTCGAGGGTACCAGAAAAGAGAGGGTGTGGCACTGGAACACCCCTTGGAATCCTGCGGTTATTCCCGCGCGTCGGCGGCCTTTAAACGGCCATATATACCGAACGTGGCATTATACACTATGTATACATACACAGTACATAGTCCTCGCATTGCATAGTCTGTTACGGAACTGCCTTGTAATAGGATAAAAATAACCGTGTTTATATAGGATTACGAGCCGATCATCTCGATTCTACGAAGAATTTCTACGCGAAACCGATGGTTAAGGCCACGAGAGGGTACAATTTTAAGCGATATGGCCGAGATTGCTTCGAATCTATTTGTTATTTTTTGTCTCGTGCAAAATTCGTACTTTACTATCGATCCTTTCTATGACACATTTAACAAGTATTTGGTATTCGTCGATGGTACTGTTTGTATGTAGCTGTTTTTCTTCGGACAAGTACTCTATTGCAAACAAAAAGACGATCGAACACCCTGTTTCGATCTCGTTGACCTACCTCTTCTGCTGGTATTATATATTATTGTATTTACCAGTGGAATTGCCGTACTTGTCGCAGTTGACGCGGGCAAATAAATATTGACCGTCCAGGTTGGGACCGCAAACACATCCATTAATAACAAGAACGTAACTCCGATGCGAAGCGTGTTTAGCCGTATCCTAGCTCGGTTGAATCCTCGTACCAACAAAATCGAGATTGTCGGTGTCAATTTATATCTGCGGGTAGATTCACCGTTACGCTAGAATAATTTAATAACGTTCGAATACAGGGGCTGCTGCGACTCTGTCTCGTTTTCTGTTCCGGTCGCGCGTCGACGTCAGCGTAGCGTCGCGTTCGACCTGTCTCTCTCTTCCCACGGCTGAACGTTACTGGCGATTGATTCGATTTCGATCGAAAAAAAGGCTGTGATTGGGAGAGAACACATTTTGTTAATCGATTGCTCCTTTTGCACTTTCAACGTTACATCGAATAAGCAAAGAACACTAATTTCCTGTAACTTGATCTGTCTCAACGATGGATACGTATTACATACATACATACATGTGTATTGAAAAACATCTTATCACGGCAGCTCATACCGGAGTCTGAAGGAAACTCGTTGCGCTGCAGCGAATCGAGATCCATCGTATATCGGCGCTCCCACCAGCACTAGCGCCAGCGCCAACGAGAGCGCCAACGAGAGCGCCAGTAAGGAGAGTCTCCCCAGAATCCAGACTCTCGGCTCACCGTAGCGAGTCCAAAGCCCACGTCCATAGTGCGCCCGCTAGCCGATCTGGTGCCCCACCACCGACGCCATCGCAGTCGTTGCCGCCACACCGCCGCCGCCGCCGCCGCCGCCACCACCACCACCACCACCACCGCCACCACCACCACCACCACCACCACCACCACCACCACCGACGCCACCACCGCCGCCGAAGGGCCCCGAGCTCGAGGTTTCCGCGATCGGAGTCAGTTGGCCGACGCAAGCCGCGCGTGTTGGAGCTTTTGGTGTGTAGGCTTGTTTACGGTGGTAACGTGGTTCTCTGTTCCACGCGTGTCTCGTGCAATGAAATGCACGAGTAAGAACCGCACGATTCGCGTTCCGTTTCTTGGTCCAACCTATCAATTGCTTCGAAAAGGTACGAGATAGTCACGAGTTTATGGATGACGTTTGTTCCGTTGAATCCACCAATGATCCACGGAGGAGAATCGAAGCACGATCGAACACGCTGTTTACGTACTGCATGGATGATAGGGCAAGTGTCAGTGAAGTGGGGGTTGAAGTGGCGGTACAGTGGATAAACAAAGAAAGTGATACGTTGAAAAATATCGGTGAGGTTCTCGGTGCTAGTGGATTTTTCAAAAGGCGGCTACGGCTTCAGGATTCGTCTGCCGGTGTCGAGTAAGTCTCGTAATTTCGTACTTGATCGGTCGTACACATATCTACGTACATAGATATGTAGATAAAGAAGAATTGCGCCTACGTCTTATCGTTAATGGGAATCGTGTAATTACCATTTGTTTCAGTTATCGCGCAAAGAAACTTTTTAATCATTCGACTCCCGAAATAATGATATGACTCGTGTGCTCCGTATTCGAGATTCGATCGTGATCGAAATTGAATCTCCTTTTGAAAAAACTAAACCGAAATAGTAGGCTGGCGAACTTCCCCTAAGGAGAGTTTACTATTCAAACATCCCATGAAACCTATTTAAAAATGCCGCGACCGTATACCATCGTCTCGACGGCCATTCTTACGACCGCGATGACGACTTGCTTCAGAACGGTTCGTTGTGTTACCATTCATATTAAACTACCGCTAGCGAACAAAGCGATTGTTATACCGGCTCGCAAATTCGAGCTGGTTACTCGAGTGTTCGGTGACACGGGGTTGCCGTTAATAATATGCAGAAAAGTGCACGGTACGGTTAGGTGAAACCAACGATTTACTTGTTGCTCTCCACGGGAGTGATAAGGTCGAGAAATTTGCGACTGATAAACGAACCGTGACAGTATTTTGATAATTTCAGTCTTTGTTTACATCTAGATACGAAACGAGATAAATTTATAAGAAAGCTCCGCATCGTTTAGCTAACGGAATGCTGTTCGGTGAAAATTTTAACATGCTGTGATTCCTAGTTCCGTTCACTGATAATACGAAGAATAACGGCTGCATTTATACGAAAACTATACATATTAGCAATAACTACCTAATAACAGTGGGAAAGAACCGAAATACATATTTACTAGTTCGATGACGACATTTCGATCGAAAGGGAACGCGTGTTCTACATTCATGATACATGTATACTATACATACCTAACATCGTTACTTTTACTACCTATTATTACGTTGGAGCGTTATTGTAAAAGGATGCTAGAACTTGGAATACTGTAAACTATGGATACAGAAAGAAAAGGATGAGTAGGAAAAGAAGAAAGAAAAAGAGGAGAGGAACATCCCGATATGTATATGTATACATATTCCGTGTATTTACGAGGAAACTCGTGCGTTGTGCGCGCCTTCTGGTTCACGATGCATACATTTCGCGTAAATCGCTGAAAACTTACTACCTCCGTTACCACGGGTACCGAACGACTCGATCTCTTATACGCAATTCCAGTAAGTGCCCTCGAATGTTTGTAAATCTCCGTTCGACTCTACGTACGGACGGCCATTTTACGATTATGCGATCCTCGCGAGCTATTCGATCCAGCATCGGTCTGCGATCGTTTATCCGTCGAGTCCGACGAATGTTTCTAGTCGGAGCATGTTTGTTTGCAATGGTCCGTTAAGCGCCCCGATCGATTCTCGCGATCATAGACGCCGCTAACGAGAATCGCTATCGCGACAGACGCGACTATTGTAATCGGTCTTCGATTTCATCGGAACGATGCAATTAATTAATAAATGGCGCCCCGCGCCGACTCATCGTTGACACGAGGAGGCATTAATCGTGACTGCGATATTCTACCAAGAACAATTACCTCTTTGTCTCCTTTGACGGAAACAACGGCCGCAAAATAGTTCCTCTTCGAGTCGCGTATTATATACAAAAATGCATCGACACTATCGTATCGAGTCTCTTTTAATATGCTTACATTGTTCGCTCGACATTTTTTTTCCATTTCTTTCCTAATTCTGTCAAACACTCAACGTTCACCACGATACCGTATCGCACGTGTTTCTCTTAATTATCTAATCGGCATGTAACTGTTGCGCGACATGCGACATATGACACGCGTCATGCGACTTTTTATAAATATAATCCTCTAAGAAGAAATAAAAGAAATAGTAAACACTTTGAAAACGATTTGATACGCACGGAACAAGCTCCCGCCGTTGACTAAACGATTCAAGCTTCGATGGATAAGAGACCCAGCCGTTATTTCACTTTGACAGATATTATTAACGACTAACCGAGCTACGCACACTTGTACCGACGTAATCATCTTCGCGAAACGGCGCTCGATAGAAAGAGCCCCTGTCGCTCTACGACGCCCTCGCTGCACGTCCGTCTGTCTGGAAAATAAACAAGTCGAGCAAACCGTGCATCATGCCAATGGATCCTCTTCTTTCTGCCCATGGGATGCGCATCGTTTCGTTCCTGCAGAGGAGTGCGACGAGTGCGACGAGTGCGACACGCGCCTCTTTTAATGTCCCCGTCAACGCTGCCTCGCTTTTCAAGTGAGTTCTCGCAGTCGCATTCGCATTCGCAATCGCATTCGCGTTCGTCTTTCGTCTTTCGTCTTTCGCCCCATCGCGACCCCCGACTTCCGTTCTTTCTTTCAACGCCAACGGATCGTTATGCATCAGCCAAGTGCGTACGATTACAATTACCGTGCAAAATTCTACCTTTCAGCGATTCTAAATTTAGGACAACAATCCAATCGATGTATGTATTTTTTTTTAGAAACTACTTCTAACGAGGATAAATCAGTGTTTTGTCGCAGTTTTGTAAAAGAGGCTGAAAACAGTGTAACGAAATTACGAATAAAGTATCGTAACGAGAAGATACACACGTTTTCGAACGTTATCAAAACGAGATGGAGTACAACGCATAGAGGGACGGAACGCCACGATCCGTCGAGCCAGGAAACGCGACGCACGTGATGAGAGTGCGTAAGCCAAGTCGACGTCTCGGACAGTCGTTCTCACCCGGACTTGGACCGTTTTTCATGGCCAGTAAAAACTCGTAAGCGATGCACAGCGCTATCTTGACCGAAAAATCGAACCCCAACGGGTATCAGGTTTTCGATCGACTCGACGGGAAACAACGTTGCGCCCTCGAAGAGGCTGAACCAGGAGAGAAGCCCACCTGGCACGCGCAAACCCTCCATCTGCGTTCTCACGGTTCGGTGTGTTTTATCTGTTCGAATGGAACATTGGCGAAAACTGTGTTTACGCTTGAACGAATTTTCCTGCCGTACCAACTAAACGCGGCTCTTCATTCTCGACGATCGATCGACAAGAGTTCCCGTCGTCTCAAGTCGAAAGATTACATACCTATACGAAATATGCGCAAACAAGACAGAATACAGTTCGGTCTTTCGCGTCTCCCCTTCTACGTTCTACCGATATTTCCGGAACACGTCGACATCGTCCGGATACAGTGTTTGTATTTTATATTCGTGCAAAAACGTCAAATAACTTTCGCTGTAACGAAAATCGAGCGTGGGTGGCTCGTTTGATCCTCTCCGCGTCCAGGGAAACTTGATGGCACGACGTCGGCGTCGTTGCTCTGGCACGACAAGCACACGCGATCGCGATGGTGTATTTTCAGCAGCAGTGCAGCGACTTTACCCGCCACGAGAATAGAAACGAAACGAAATGAAAGTGAAACGTTTGGAAAGGTGGTATTCTTTGATGTTAAAAGTTAAAAGGATAAGGTATACTTGAATTATTTTATCGATTGTTTTGTCCGAACAAGGATAATGGCGAGGCGGAATAGAAAAGATTTCAGTTAGCCTCGGTCTGCGAACCGGTAGCTGAATGATTCAAGCTCGAGGATCCCTGCTCTACCTGTTGTCACGCGATACCCGTGCTGCCCTTCGAAGCTTTTAAACCGCTTTTAAGTCGCAACCGCGTTCACCTCGACGCCTGAAATCCCGACTCGTCGAGAGGCGGGCGGGGTCCATCTCTTTCACCAAAGGGAAGAGCCGGGTTCGAAACGAGCGGCACAGTGCACAAGCTGTCCGCTCGTACGAGTGCCGAAGAAGAGCCCTGCTGGAACAGGTCCTGTGAAAAGAAACAGCTTTTCTGGAGCGACTCGGTCGGGGGCTCGAGCAGTGAATAGCACTCGAGTTCTCGCGTTTATCCCGACAAGGAGGAAAGCCCCAGAGAAATGAGAGAGGGAAAGAGAATACTAGGTATTCGTGGCAATTGCAGTGTGAAATCGCCATGTGTTCATCCGCACGGCACGGCACGGCACGGCACGGCACAGCACAGCACGGCACGGCACGACGTCGGTGTCGGCGTCGGCCTCGGCGTCGGTCGGTGTCGAGTGTTTTAAGCCTTTGAGTGATAATACCGGGCACGTTTATAAATTGAGTCCTCGTCCTGAAGGATTAGATCGGGCTCTCGCGATGGGAAATCTGTGTAGGGAAGCCGATACGCTCGCATAATGCGCGTTTCACGAGCTCGTCGCCACGGCGTGGATTATTCCACGGCATGAATCTCCGAGAGTATTTTCGTTCCGTATGCCGTATTTAGGTATGATCTGTCCTTTCGTTAATTATTAACGTTGTTGGTTATCGATCGGAATAGACGCAAAGACCGAACGGGGAGAGCTGTTACATTGAACGCAACGCTTTTCAAGCGTTCTTTGTTGAATTCGAAGAGACTAGGGAGGATAGGCGCCATGAGGAAATTTTGCGTGCGGGAAAGTGCGCGGTGCCACTGGAATATTTAAATGGCAAGGGTTGCCTGCCAGCCGGTACCCAAGTGCCACTCTCGCTCTTCTAACCTTTTTTTATGTATTCCAGTGGAAACAACTAACATTAAATTCGCGCAGCCATCGGTCCATGTTTCATAACTCTGATCGCGAGCCATCGATCGTTACCGTTTCCATGTTTTTTCCTACCACAATCTTGGTTGCTCTTGGATGCTCGAGTAACAAAGCGTATACTCGTATTTAATTCTTTCGTTTCGGTTATTCACTCTGCTGGAACCCTTCCACTGAATGGGACTCTACTTTTAATGTTGCAGATGTAATTTACCGGCACCGAGAGATACTCCGATTCAAGTGCAGCGATCAGTCCCGAAATTCACCAATATTCGTGTATCGTCGTCGATGTAAGATGAACGAATGACCCGCGTGACGGTAACACGTACGCGATGAGGCCGAAATCGTGTTTCTTGTTTCTGTTGTTCTGTGTGCTGCTACCAGGCCTGGTGCGTCCATTCACATCCGGCGAAGGTGAGTCGTATTTATTTAACGTGATTAATTATACAGGCATAGTTATTACACTAATACATACTTGTTACTTATTTCCATTTTTCTTATCATCACTTTGTCTTATATGACTCCTGCTAGCCCTCTTATAGCTAAACCTGTCGCATACTACAACCCCTGATTAGAATGCCTAACCATAATTACGATTGGAAATAACAAAGGAACATAACGGGAAGCAGCTTTCTTTTGGGTTATTTTTGCTGCTAGAATCGATATGTCTGTATGGATTTATTGAGAATTATTAACATGTGCGATAACCGAAAGGTCCGTTGTCATATTTTTTGCGATTTCCTCGTTAAAAAAGAAAGGTCGTGTTCGTACCTCAAGACACGGGGGCCTAGAGGCTATCGCGTTCCGAGGAAAGGGAAAGGAAGCGGAGGAACCAACTAGATCTAATTATACGGCAAGTCGGTGGCGTTGATTAGTGGTAGGCATAACCGGCCGGTTACGTTACGCCAGTCGTTTTCGATGATGGATTACCAGTTTTAAAGCGACCTTACGCTCCCCGCGAGAGGTTGAATCCTCCGGTTTGTTGGTTCGGTGCCCTTTTGCGAAATCACGCTCCCAACTAACTAACACGTTCCCGAAATCCAGCGGACGCGCGTCATCGCGAAGCGATGCGAGAAATGATGAATGGCGTCCGACGGAAAAAATGTAACGCACGACGATAGAAAGTTGACGGTATACCGGCTACTTGTCGCGGAACATCTTTTGGAATAATTACAGTTTTCGCATTTGGTATCACTTCTCACGTCCAACGCGCGAAATCGCGTCCGAAGCGAGATCGTGCTCCGATTCTAGCAAACGTGTCGCGCGACGCGAGGACGTTGAAAGACAATCGACGACGCGACGGGAAGCTACGCCGCGCCGCGCCAAAACGCGACGTTCTTCTTCTGCCATGGCCAGCAACAGCAAGCGAACGTGCAACACCAGACTCCGCGTGTATGCGCGCGCGTGAATAATTACCACGACGATTTATAGCGACGTGATATCGCGTCATAATTTTGCTGGCTTGACTGGCTACCGCGCGGCACTGTGAAAAATATTAGTTGCACTAATAATTAACGAGCCGAGACGAGGTCGCGTTCACCGCTTCGTCGTCACGTTTTGGCCACGGTGATGTCGCCACCGTTTCTACTTGGTATCGCGGTAAATTTGTCAAGCTCGTTTCCTTTCAAGACGACACGAACCTCGGTCAGTTTTACCTCACGACTGGGTTAATTTTCAATTTTCGAAGAATTGGAGATGCACTTGCAAACCCGTTCAGTTCCGAACCTATAACGGTACTCTCTCGTCGGATTCACCGAGAGTCTCGTGAGAACCTATTACTCATCCGCGCAGCGTTGACGCGTTGACGCGACCTCGTTCCTTCGGTAAGTTTCACAAGTAAATCGCGATCAAGGTTTGCGATACGAGTTTCGATCGGTAACGAAACGTAGCCAGGCACGGACTCGAAGATAGCGGGAGGTCGGTGGATCTGGTAAAATCGCCTTAAGCAAAAATGCAAACAGCGTAAAGGCTAGTTGGTGGGTTCGCTCGAGCGGGCAATTACCCGGTTAGTTCCACGGCGGAACGAGGTCTATTCTCGAACCGGCCGCAGAGAAATAGCGGGGCAGGGGTCGTAGTCGAATGCAAAACAAACATAAAAAATAAGTATGAGCGACAGAGAATGGGGGAAAACTCTTTAATCTCTCGTAATCTCTCATCGACCCAATGCCCATTCTCCATTCTCCCTTTTATCGCATACCTCTCTGTCTGTTTCTACCATTCTTCACGTTGCCGCGACGAAAGGTCGGGTCAACTTTAATTATCGTAAATCAAACGAGAGAGTGGCGTGCAGAGAGAAGGCCCCGCCAGTTGCGTAAGCGTGATTATCGTTGAAATCGAGGAGAATGTCGGGAAAGTGTGGCCAAGTAAAGCACAGAGCTGAGGAGATTAAGAAAGTATCGATCGAATCAACAAGGTCGAACCTGATTTCATCTCGGTGTCGATCGTAAAAGAGCGATCGGGCTCCCCGTTGATTCCTCCTCGTTGTCTGTACTGATCTACACTCGAGCATGTTTTCTCCAAAAGTTTTTCTTTGTATCGAAAACAAAGTATGTACTTGCAGACATCTTCTTCCAAACAGTTAACTTGTTGGCGACGTCTCTCTTTCCAGTCACCGTTTCCATTTCCTTTTCCTTTTCCGTTTTCGTCGCGTGTTCCTTCTTGGCCACTCGTGGCGCCAGGCTCGCGGTGAATCGTGGACCGTCGGCGTCGTAAGAACATTGTCGGAACATGGCAGGCACCCTTGTTAATTAAGAGGCGCCATGTGTGGTCTGTTGCTCGTAGATATACGCTGAAACTGTACACGGTCACGCTTCTGACTCTAGCCAGCGTAATACGTGGTCAAGCCACGTAGTAGCCGCGCAAATGCGTCTCGTAGAGGTTGTGCATATACGAGTAAACAGTCGGTATGCGCGCGTACGCGTAGAGTACAGAGCTACACGTATCGCGTACACGCTCAACGGACGTAACCACCGTATCCAGCGGAGAGACTCGATTAACCACTCTATGTATCCAGTCAGGTTGGCCTAAACGGGATTGTACGATAGATACACCAAAAACCGAACACGGACAAAGGCAACGGATGGATCCTCTCTTCCAACACGATCCTCGCGTACCTACTCGAGATTCGAGTTCGATCTTTGGTATACGGTCTGTCTAACGAGAGATTTCGCAAAGATCTGTGGCGGCTGATTCGACACTGCCGGAAGATTGGATACCTACAACGTTCCGCGGCAAATTATCGGAAACCGATGAGCCTGCTTTTTTTCTGACGAATCGAGCCAGCCCCGCTTGTCGCGTGACGTTGCACAATTAAGTTGGCGCGCAACCCCTGCCCTTTTTCCCTCGTGATCCTTTTTTCTTTTTTCTTTGTTCTTTGTTCTTTGTTCTTTTTTAGAAAGAGTACGGAACCTAGAAGCGCTGTTTAGTCCGCGGCGGCCGGCCGACCGGGATATTTGCCGGCAGCAATTACCGTTGTGCGATGTAAAAATGGCTTTGCAAAAGTTGCACCGTCTTTTCGAATCCAGTCTTGTTATTTATTGTATTTACTGTCGTACTGTCGTCAACCGTGATCGAACCGAACCTTTTTCCAAATTTACCGAGTCCGCCCGCGCTGGTCAACCAAACAACTGCGATGCATTGTGTAGGTAAAATCAAAGTTTCGGCAAGTTGCACCAACGACATTGTGTACACGAATCAAATATTTCGAATAGATGCGCGATCCTGTGCAAAAGATGGACGAAAAAATGACGAATTCGAGAACGTTATAACGTCATCGTCGACGTGACGTCGGGGTCGGTTCAATCAACGATATGGTTCGCGGTCGGGCATCCAAAGTGGCTAACGAGGATTTTCGTATGAACTGATTCGCATCCGGGCAAAAACTGGCAGCCGCGATTCCACCGGACCTCGTCGGACAGCCGATCGAGACCCATTATTGGAAACCGATGAAAATTCTCTTTTAGTCGCGCCTCGATTCGCTACGGGTACGTCACGTTGCTGAATTTTTTTGTTTTATTTTTTCATTCGTTTGCCGACGCTTCTCATTTGCCCGTTGCCCTATTCCTATCTCACCGAGCAGCATATACATATATGTATATCGGAGAGATATCTGCCGGCATCGGATATAAATTCTGACATTTTTTTCCTCGGGAGGGAAATTTTGTCCTCGCTCCTGGACAATGTGAAAAATAGCGAGAAACGGCAGCACGATAAAAACCAGCCAGTTGCACAGCTGTGACATCTGTCGATCGCGATGTTGCGTTTTACGTTCGTAGATCTTATCAAAAGTCACCGGAATATCGAAATTAGTCGTTAAAAATATTTGATAAGGATAGGTAAGTACTATTGTAGTAATAGGGATCGTCATCGACGAGTTAGCTTTTTTATTATTCTGGTTTTAAGCAAAACGAGACGAAAACGATACAGAGCAGTACCGATTATCGCGATGAAAATTGTGGCCCCCAGCCAAATGTCGCACGGGGATAAAGGTCTAACCACTCGTTGGTGGGAAATGCATCGGACTTGTGCACCGGTGCGCCGCGTAAATCCGAAAATTCATTACTGCAGCGTGCGCGGTGCGATTGTTCGTAGCCAGAACGCAGAGTTTCGGGCTTGCGAAACGGCGCGCGGCGCGGCCGGCATTAATGGGCCGGGGTCAGGATTTACTAGACGGAAGGGGCAAGAGGCCAGTGGGAAGGGACTGACCATTGTTGACAAGCAAATATAGAATTTTCGCGATTCCAATTGAACGTACCGTGAATAATGTCTGGCACGAATTAATAACTCGATCGTAAATTTCGATGTACGTTTCGATTGTATTTGGAGTTGGAACGACTGACTACGTGGCTACGTGGTTTTGTGATTCTTGCCGCAAAAATGATCGTAATCCGATTCGCAAGATGATAAGGGATGCGACGGCATTCGTTTCGTTTCGTTTCGTTTCCCTTCGTTTTTACCATTCATCGAATTTCGTCGTTTGTAATGGTATGGTATAGGAGAACCGAAAATCAAACTTGATAGTCTACTTTCAGAAGGTGATGATGCCGCGGAGGACGAGGATTCGTACCTCTTGGAGGACGACGACGACGTACCATCGGCCACGATAGCCACGGATACCGAGCTGATCTCGGAATCGGGCGGTCATCTGCCGGTCTTTCTCACGGAACCAGTCGATTCCTTCGTGGTTAAGAACAAACCAGCCACGTTACATTGCAAGGCTGCTCACGCGTTGCAGATCTATTTCCGTTGCAACGACGTCAGAGCAGACGAATCGCAACAGCAAGATTTTGTGGATCCCCATACTGGGACCAGGATAGTCGACTGCGAGCTAAACGTAACCAGAGATCACATCGAGGAGTACTTTGGGAGAGACAAGTACAAGTGCGAATGTTTCGCATGGTCAGGATCCGGACAAATTAAAAGTCAACCAGCGATCGTCGATGTTGCCTGTAAGCGAAGAAATATTTTTTTCCGAAATTTTCCATACCTCTACGCATGCTCGCGATTAAAGTCTGTCTAATACACGTTAACAAGTCTATTATACAAACGTTGTAACGCGTCTTTATTTTAACATGGCAGCGATTTAGCATAATATTGCTCATATCGTAAATATTTAGCTTCCGACAGTTGTTTGCCCGGTCGTCACGTTGACAGTTACGAGTTTCGTCTTAGTTTGCCCACGTCCGCGCCCCCTCGTAATTATCTTGATTCTCCTAAGCGAGGTCATTATTTAATTCCGACCCTTAATGCAAGGCAACGGAATGACCGGACTTTCTAAGAGAATCAATTTAGGAAAGAACCGTTTGTTCGTCGTCGTTACGGACTCGCGTAACTCGAGTTGAAACAAACATTTCGTCCTCGAAAACAGCGAACAGAACAAACAATTCCTTTAATTCGAAACTAGCTACCGGTATTTCAGACATTGCACGTTTTATTTCTCCAGACTTGAAGAAACAGTTCGAGTCTCCGCCGTACTCTGTATCCGTCGAGGCGGGACAAAGCACCGAACTGAGGTGTCTACCTCCGGTGGGAGTGCCATCGCCGAGGGTCTACTGGTTAAGAAATAACGTTCCCGTCGACACGGAGTCGGATACGCTGTTGGTATCGAGCGAGGGACATCTTCTCGTTGGTCAGGCGAAACTTGGCCATCAAGCGAATTACACTTGCGTTGCGGAGAACATTGCCGCCAAGAGACTGAGCGAGCCCGTCAGCTTGACGGTTTACGGTGAGTATCTTGCTTTGACAATTTTATTACAATAATAACGCTTTCTTCCGGCATTTCTAAGGGACCCTACGAGCACGGCTATGTTAATTTCGTTACAGTGAACGGCGGATGGTCCTCGTGGTCAGCCTGGTCGGAGTGTCACTCGAGATGCGCCAAAGGAGGCCAGAAGAGGACGAGAACGTGTACGAATCCTTTGCCGATGAACGGGGGACAACCCTGTCTCGGACCATCCCAGCAAAAGATGGACTGTAATACCGCTTGCCCCGGTGAGACATTTTTTTTTTATGTACAATATTATTATATAAGTTCGAAATAAGATTTCAAGAAAACACCACGTTTCCTTCACGGACAAGTCGCGCCTGGGTTCCGCGATAGAGGCTTTTCGTGCATCCTCCATTTCCCAACGATAGCTAGTAGTAGCTAGTAACATACGTTCAGGCCATGAAACAGCGAGATAGACTGCTCGTTCTCTGTTGGTTCGATTCAAAGTCATGTAACGGCGGCCCGACGCCGACGATGCCGATGGTCGAGCAGGTTTTGCCACGACAAACCAATATTCCGATGCTGAAGAGAGGGAACTCTCTCGTTTGATTTACGAGCTTCCCCCCTTTTCCTCTCACGGTTGCTTGCCCGTTGCGTGCCGTCTTCCGCCTCGTCCCCCTTATCGTTCTTTCTCTGTTTGCTTCTTTCATCCTGCGTTGTTGGCTGGCTCTCTTAAATTGTATTCACCTTTCGAAAACGTTTGCGACATTCTGAAAGACACCTGCGTCGCATCACCGTTGAGAGTCGTGCCGAGTGTATTGAAACGTTCGCCGAGGACAACGTCCACGAAGAATCGAGGATCCACGGAGACACTTGAAATATTAACCCCTCGTTTGTTACGGCGCGGCGCGCAGAATTTCATGGTACACGTTACACATTGTCGCGATTCGGTTAGTCGCGACCGTACCACGTTTTCTTTGAGCTCCACTCGTTTCTCTCGCCGATTAACCGTCTGCTTTTGATAACGCACCTGCATTTCTTTTGTTCGTCACGCTTACTTTGGAACAGTCGGCGTGTCGGAGGAGTTTACCAACACTTTAGGTAAGCAACCGCTTTTCCGTCTATCTAGAAAAGAAATTAAAAAACAACTTGAAATATTTACATACTAGTATCACGCGGCGATCGAGAAGCACGTCAGCGTAACGATCGAATCGTTAGCCTAAACTATGGTATGCCCATCGAAGAATAGCGTACATTTTTTCACGTAGAAATATACGTAAAGATCCGAGTACATACCGAGTACCGAGTACCGAGTACCATGTGCTTACGACCGATCCAACTGTTTGGCTTGTACTTGGCCGGTAACCTTTGGTCCATCGTATTAACGTGATATTGTCGATTCTGCGAGAGTACATGGTATAGTGTCCGAGCTGTCTTCTTTTCTCTCAATAGTGGTGGACGGAGGATGGTCCAGATGGTCGGCATGGTCAGTGTGCGGAAGTGACTGCACGCATACCAGAAGAAGATCGTGCGACGAACCGCCGCCAAGCCATGGTGGCCGAGTTTGTCAGGGTAGGGATATCAGCGTAACGAATTGCACAGGCGGCATGTGCAACGGTAAGTGATGATTTCGACGAGTTTTACATATTATTATAGGTGTAAATTCGACTCTCCTTGCTCGTGAATAATTTTAAGCTAAATTATCTAAACGATAATTCTTCTTGGTGACGAGCTACTCTCATTCGTCTTCCAATTACCACGTCTACGTATTTCTATCTCTTTATCGTTCGATCGTTGTTGTTTTTAGCCGGCCCCGGTGGTGGCAACGGCGGCGCGAGACTGGGTGGCACGCACTTGACCGAACAAGGTGAGTGTTTAGCGTATTTTTTGATTTTCCATCGTAATAGTTTGCCGAAAGAGAAGGATTTCCGTTCGTAGGTTCGTTGGCGGTACGCGGAAAGTTAGACGATTAGACGAGTAGCGTTCAGTGACGTACATGAATCGAAAAGTACCCTTGGTAGTAAACTAGCAACGACGCGATCGCGTTCGAGTCTATTTGTCGATCATGTTTTCCGCATCGACGAGAAGCATCGAAAGCCCCCTCAAATATTTACTTTTAATTACGCGAACCGTTAATTATTGACGCTTCGCGAGGGCTCCAGGACGCGATCACCGGCCCCCAACGCGATCCAAACAATCGTAACAATGAGACGACGGCCAGGCGCGGCGCGGCGCGGCGCGCGGGTAGTGTAGGGCACGGGCGCGGGCGGTCCACTGGTCCATATAGATTCAGACACCCCCTTAGAGGTGGACGCTTCTATCGACCAAGCCACATCAAAGTTGCACGCGATACGCTTCGAGCTATGGCTCTCTTCCTGGTCGAACGGTGGAGGGTGGTGGTAACTATGGTGTACGAGGGAGGTAGGGACTTTAATATCGAAGAAAATTATGTAATCGGCAGCCGTTACGCCCCTCGGCGTCGGCGTCGGCGTCGGCGTCGGTGTCGCGCAACGAGAAAATTGATCGTGCATGCAAATAAAGTGCCATTATCCGTTGACGGAACTCTGAACGTGTTCATGGATCGCTGAGTGGCGAGATGGTCGTTTAAGATCTACCCTTTGCATCCAGAAGCAAGTTTGGTTTTCGTCAAATTTTGGTTTTGGTTTTCGACCAATTGCCAAATTATCTTACTTTGTATAGAGGATTCGGCAACATCTCTCAATGTTTTTTCGCAAAAATTTCTTCTTCTCGGCTTGGTCTATGAATTAAGAAAACGCTAAGAAAATAAATCACCGCGCTCCTACGCCACATTTCGCTCTATTTTACAAAGGCCGAGGGTCGCGAACGCACCCTTGATCCCGGAGTAACGGGATGTACAACTATTTGCGAATTCTTTCCAAATTCGTATACGTTTTCTACAGCGCGCCGTGTACGTATATTGATGTTCGAAGCACGTGTCCCCGAGACAAGCGTGCTGTCAAGCAACAGACGCACATGATCCTGCGAAGGAAAGCTGCCCTTTGAGAGTCACGTACCGGCGTTAGAGCCGAGAATGGCTTTGACATTCTAAAATTGGAAGAAGCTTAGGAACGTCAGCCGTCGGTTCGTCGTGGTATTTCTTGAAAATCTTTGGAGGCGGTGCGCGCATTTTAAGCGAGTCAGTCTCGGCGTCGCTTCGGTTAACAATTAAGTACGACGACAAGAATTTTAAGGGTCGATTATCGCGTCGCTCGATTGCTCGCATCGGAAAGGTTCTAAAAATCAGTGTAACGCTTGTCGACCTCGATGAAACGACGACCTCTGTTCCAAACTGTAGTCGCTTTCAAAGTAGCATCGTGAATCTCTCGACTCGTCGGATCCGTTTCATCTTTCGACCATCGCCGTCCTCCGTTCACCGTCGAAATTTGAAAACATCGTTTGATGTTCACAGCGAATCGCCAGATGGATGTGGCTCTGTACGTTGGTCTGACTGTCGCCTGTCTGGTAATCGGTGGACTGGCATTTTTCTTAGCGAAGCTTCTGAGGCGCAAAGGTCGAGACCATTCTCTTTACTCCATGGCCCGTAACGGTAAGCATGTCAAAGATGAAAAATAACCCCGGAGTTGTAGGCGAACGAAGGAGTGAATGGCGCCGAGGCGGTTCCCTGAGAAGATGTAATTATACGCACGATAGAAGGAACGATAGTTGGCTTTTTCAACGAGATCGCGCGACATTCGCGATCGATTCTTTTATCCAATTGAAAAATTCTCGGTCCTTCGTGCGCCCCGCCAGAATTAAAACGATACTATTTCGATGTTTTCTTGATGCTATGCGTTCGTTACTTTCATCTACGGAAACGGGTCACGAGACACTGAAATAACAATCGAGTTTATTATTCGTGTATACAGGTAAGAATAGATGGTACATACTCGTAGAATCGTTGTACTGGTATGTCGCGGAACGAACGATTATGCCAAGTATGGATAATAGAAAAGTAGCTTGCATCGATGTACGATATAATAGATACATTAGATAGTTGATAGAATTGCAGGGGGAAAAGTAAAGAGTTGCGATAAAGAATATAGAGAATATAGAGAATATAGATATACATGTAGATGTAGAGGAACGGAGAGTAGATACGAAAGTAGCGAAGCTCGTTGCTCCGAAAGACGGAATAGTGTCACAGCGGGCGGCGTCTGTCCGCAGCGCGCAGAGATACCCACGAGCCGTGGCTCGGCGGTGTGCGTTTCAGAATTCCAGCCAGAGTTCTTCCCGGACCAGGACAAGAAAGTGAGCCTACAGCCGGATGTAACGGCGACGAGCGTGCCGGCTTGCTACGAGTATCCTTTCGACCCGAAGTTGTCGATGTCGAGATCCCTTTCCGAGCACCATTACGACGTTCCACATCTCTCGATCGGGCCGCAACCCTCGGCAATGTCGCCGACCCCGAGCACCTCGACCCAGGAGTCCTGCAGCGACAAACAAATTCATTCCGACTGCGAGAACAGCGTCGCTAGTTCCTACCCGTCCTCCGATTCCACGTATAACGTCGCCTCGGAAAGCGTTAGGCTGCCGAAGCTGGAGACCGGAAACGTAGCTGGAGCGGCGGTGAATACGCGCGGCGCGTTACTGGTGCTTCCGGACGCCGGAATATCGATGTCGGTGCCCGAGGGAGCTGTGCCTAAACCACTTAGGGAGGAACTCTACCTGGCGGTGCTCAACGAGGATCGGTTCAGGCCCCGATTACCCGGTAAGCGATGCGTACACGTGTTATTAAGCGAGTCGGTCCGTATCACGATATCATTAGAAATGGATAAATACTTGGCGATTAATTCAATTGCAAGTTTCTTACCTTTATTAACGAATCGGACAAGTCATTTTTAATCGAAACTCTCGCACTCGCACTCGCACTCGTACTCGTACTCGTACTCGATGCAAGTGTAGAAAACTTTGTACGTTCTACTCATATCGAAGCAGAATCCTAACTTTTATTCGTAGATGGTATCACGCAATTATCCGCGGTGGTAACGTGCGGGCCTTCGTCGGCAACCTTCAACAAGCCTGTGATTCTTCAATTCGAACATTGCGCGATGCTTCATCCGGCTACGTGGGAATTGAGCGTTTGGGCGTGCGACGGGTTGAGCGTCGAGGACGGGACGGCGATCGTGTCCTCGAAAGACTATCAATCGATGATTACGTGGACCAGGGTGCTAACTTTAGGCAACGAGACGATCAACACGCCTTTGTTCACGCAGCTGGATCACGCGGAAGCGTTCATCGTGACCGAGCAGTTGCGGGGTTACGTTTTGGCTGGGCAGAGCTGCGAGAACTCGATCGCAACAAAGAGATTACGATTGGCGTTGTTCGCGAGCCAGGCCGGCCAATGCTGCGTAAGGGTGTACGCTGTCGAGGACACCAAGGCAGCGATGAAGGCGATCCTCGATCGAGAATCGCAAATCAGGGGATATCTGTTGGACAAGCCGCGAACGTTGCTCTTTCAAGACAACGGAGAGTCGCTTTGCGTCAGCTTGGAAGAGGTTGGCAACGAATGGCAGAGCAAATCGCAATCGGACCGACAGGAAATCGGTTTCCGGGACGCGTGGAATTGTCAAGAGAACACGAAACACGTAACCTTTAGTTTGGACGCAGCCTTCGGACCTACCTCCACCAGAAGCTACAAGCTTCAAGTCTCGCAGGGGAACTCGGACACGAGGCAGGTGTTCAGGATTGTCTACGACGGCGCGAAACAATTGATTTCCTCCGGAAGCGTCACCAGGCCGCTCAGAGAGGTGACCGTGGTCAGCAGCGGGCATGCTAATAACGCGACCACGGACTCTACTACCCTGAGACCGTTTCGGTTTACCAGGTCCCTGAGGAAGCAACTTTGCCAGTGTCTCGACCCACCGAACGCTCTGGGTAACGACTGGAGAATGCTGGCGCAGAGGCTTCAAGTTGATAGGTTAGCTACTTTTTCAAATCACCTCTTCCTTATTCTCTTCCTTTAAATGTTCCTACACCTAAATGTCCTTCAAATTTTCTTACACTCTCTTTCAAATTCATCGTTCGAGACTTACTTGATAATAGAAAACACGCATCACTCGGTTACGTTTCAGGTACATTAATTATTTCGCGACGAAATCCAGTCCGACCGAACATATCCTGGATCTTTGGGAAGCAAAGCATCACGAACCCACAGCCGTGACGGACTTGTTGAACCATCTTCGAGTGATGGGCAGAACGGATGCAGCCACGATTTTGGAAGCGCAACTCGGTCCGTGGCTTTGAACTGTGCAAGGTGTCGGGGTGTCATACTCTCGGGACATATCCAGTGGTGAGTGAAAACGAAGAAGCGCCCGCGTAGACGGCCAAAGTGAACAGTGATTCAACGAGTGGTCAACACTGAACACTAAATTCCTCGATCTCGTACAAGTCGGTTCTCTGGGCAAACTCGTCCAAACGCTGCCTTAATTGCGCGCAACTGTTGCGTATTTTGTACATACTACATACATACTACCTAGACCGCGACGACACGACGAGAAACGATACGTTTACCGCGAAATCGTACCTAATAATCGTCAACGAAGTTACTAGAACTGTGCATTTAGATGGATATACATATATGTACATACGTATTAAAGATTTGCGAGCAAATGACAATGAATATATCCATTTAGACGGATGTTTATATATAAATATAAATAGATAGACGGTTAAGTAGATAGGTAGGTAGAGGAGATCGAACGAGGAACGAGCGAAAGCGAAAGATTGGCATCGTTCCACTGCGATACAAAAAAAAAAAAGAGAAAAAAAACACGAAAAATTGAAGGTAAATGGAACGCGTTTTATCGATTTGTTACATGGACTCACGGGCACGAGTGGCCAGTGATATCTCGGAGGATGATCGTGCCAAAATTCTCACTCTGGGTTTCGAAGAAGAAACGTTTCTGTTGATGTTTGTATCCACAGTTTGTTGAAAATGACGTGTTTCTTTCGTGCCCGTCGACAATACGTGCCGCCCGCGCCGGTATACGATTTTTTTTTAAGAAAAGTAGTAAGAACGATCGGGTGCGGACGTTCGATCGGATTAGATCGATCTCGATTGCGATACATCGAATCATTTTAATCGACACCAGTTTATTTGGAAGAACTGTATATTTGTTACTTTCGACGAATAAAATATTCTTGTATACCTTGAACAGTCGTTGACGCATTCCATCCGTTTCTATTCATCGCGGCTACTTTTTCCCACCATCATCCTTGTTTTTATTTTCAGGTTTCTGTCGCTCCCACGACTCGTTCGATAGAGACGAAATGTTTTTTCGATACATTTTGTTTGTACATTCTTTTGTACGCTCCCCAACGCTTGCCCCTGATGGGCCTCAGTTCCAGTCGTGATATTAATTTAAACTAGAGTGTTTAACAAAATTACAAACACGACGCGTTGGAAACGCGTGAGACGCCTGCAGACTCTTTTTCTCGCGATTGTCATCGAGTAATGTTACAATTGAAAGTGGAGTCGAAAAAAGCCGAATAATCCCGTGACGGTTCCTGACCGTGTTCGGACACCGCAGTGCTTCGGGTCGTCAGTGTCGGCGTCGGCGTCGGCGTCGGCGTCATTGCGTAAACCTAATGGAATGCGCACAAGTGTTTTTCAAGTGGTCCAGCATGTTGCCGGTCGGAAAGTCCAAGTGCGCATAAAAATAGCTCGAAACGAACAGTTACTTTTCTCTCTACGACAGACGAGATGAGCTTCCGATGCCATTTTTACTCGTCGCACGATTGCGAGATGGACGCTTCGCTATGTCGAATCCTCATTGATATGCGTCTACCGATAGAAGCAAACCTTGATTACACCCTTCAGCCAGAGGTTCTCAAAGTATTCGCACCAAAGCATCCGCGTCTATATCGTTGGACTCTGAAACTGATCTGCATGGGTCGTTGCTTCTTCGATTTTTCCAACTTGTCCACTCTCGAGTATTTGCTGCAAGAGGTAAGCAACGGTATAAATAATTTCCTATTTAGTTTTCAGTTTCCTATTTCGTTTAGTGCGCAGAGCGTAATAGGTACGCACTTATCGTTAATTGTAAGTTTCGAAATACTAATGAAAGCTTGAAATCTGCGCGTCGGTGTCTGTACGATTGGTCAGCTTGGCAGGGTTCGCTCTGTCATGCCGCCCCTAGACATGCATACGTGCATACATATGTATCCGGTGTGCCCGAGCATTGTCAACCTGAATCCGGAGCCAGTAGATAAAGAGCAAGACGGATATTCATTCTCGAGCTGGCCAGCTGCGAGCCCACGCGAATTTGGTGACTCACTTTAGAGCATGGCGCGACGCCGACGTTGAGTGTACCTACGCGCTCGGTGTGTGTCACTCATGAATGCTCGGCCTGTAACAGAGGGAACTGGCTGTTACCGAGAGGATAGGCGGCTAAATCGGTATTGTATGCTTAAAGCCTCGTGATACGATAAGATCCTAAAAACGTTGATAAACGATTGAGGATTCCACGTGCAGAACCCTTTCTCGGTCCCTTGATTTCTCTCTCGTGTAGCCTATTGTTCCAAAACGCGTTTGTTTGACTGCGGGTGATGTGCGTGTGTCAATTGTCACGCATCCCAAAGAATTTTCACCGAGGACGGCCATCTCTTTGTTTGGAAGCAATCGAACCGTGTTACCGTTGAATAAATATGCATTTAAAAAAAAGCGCATCCCTTGACGATGCGCACGAGGACGTTTACGAGAGATCGGAAGAAAGCGGCAAAAAAGAAGGGTAGAAGGAAACGATGGCTAGCCATCGTGACTTTGCTGTCAAAGGGGGATATCGAAGGGTGACTTGGCCGCGTTACGGCTCCCACGAAGTCGAGAATGGCTGCATTGTGCCGGCAACTTTGCTCTCTCCGCAATACAATAAAATCCTCTTTGCGCGTCGCGTTATTGTTTAACGGTTGATTGACGTTGATCGAGGGGAGCACCGGTATCTCGTGCGACGTCCCCTTCCGGAAAAGTGTCGCCCTATCGTATCTCGCGTCTGTACGGTAACGCTCGTGCGCGCTCGTTTGCAGATGTAGACACGCGGATATTAGTCCGACCGTGAAACTTCTGTCCTGGCAAAAGTAGAATCAATCTTTATCGATAGCCGACCGTTTTTCACTAATCGGCTGCCGGTCGACCGAATTTTCTTTCGTCATTTCGAAGCTTACCAGATTCGCTTCTTTTACAAACAACACCAAAAAATCTTTCGATATTTTTTTTTCTCGCGACCACGCTAACCCCGCGTCAGCTTTGCGAGACGATGCCGACGGACAGAACTTTCGCTTCTCGAATCGTTGATGAACAACGGTAAGAATGGTCACCGATACGAAACATTTATACGAGCTCGTGTACATCAGCTACCCTGGCTTTTGGCGATGCCGGCTCTTTGACATCCAGTGGCGTTGTACTGTCGAGCATTGTACCGCGCGAGACGCGCGGGAACCCAGTGACGCGTGACACGTCCCTGGAGGGCCGAGGGCGTCGCTAAATAGAACGCCCATTAGTAACGAATACCGCGAGGAATCCCCTCGTGTGTCCCGAATCTCTCTCTTCCTCTCTCTTGTATACATAATGCGGTAACATCGAACAGGGGGTGAGTTTCGACCGGAGCAGAGCAACGTTCGGGCCCTCCGGGAACGATACGTGCTCCTGATAATTTTCTGTTAGCTGCTCGCACCACTGACGCCACGCCGACGGTGCCAACTTTTCCGAATACTTGATACACATGGAGGCATATTAACTGGCAATGGATCGCATCCATTCCAGATTCATCGATAATCGAACAGAATTACTCGAAACTTTGATTTCTTTGAAATACGATGGTTCGCTAAGAATAAGATCGGGTCAAGTCTGACGCGTGGTTAGGTCTGGGTGCGCGACGGAAAATATTTCCATGGAAAGGTAAACTCGTGTCGAACGCACTGGTTCGGTCAACCTGAACCGCCAGCTTTAGCCAGACAGGGTGCTAATTTTCGAGGGTTGGTTCCGCGAGGCTGTAATTAATGGGGTTTGTTATCCGAATAAAAAAGTGCCGCGAGTGTAGTTGGGACAGCAGTAGGTAGCCCGATCGTTGATTGGTCCCGGTAATTGGCCTGATTGTCTCGTGGCCTAATTAATTTAATTACGTTTAATTGCGTATCGGGACGCGTTTCGTCCAGGCAACTCTTGCCTCATTCTCTGTTCCTTTTTTCTTCTTGTTTGTCGGCCTTTGGTCTTTTATTTTCAACGAAACGATGATTAGGAATTGGAATACTCTTCGAAAGGGAAACTGTTGGTCCTAGATAGCGCTTCGTTGAGTTCAATTCGTTCGATTTCATCGATTGCACGAATAAATTTGGTCTATTGAAAAATGCAAATCAGATATCTAGGTGTTCCGGTAATACGTGGGCAGCCGCAAACGTTAAGACGCCAACGTGTACACATTTTACAGCCGCGCGCGTTTCCAATAGAACGGAGACAAAGAAGAGAAAGGGGAATGTTGGAAGCCACGCAACGAAATTACAAGTTTACGTCGCTGGTTTTGGTCTTCTCGAGACGGGCTGTTTATGTAAATCGGTGCGTAGATATCGTCGGAAAACGCCGTTAAAACACCGGAATAGCACGGCCGCGCCGCTACGATATTGTTCTGCGAGCATCCTCCGTGTAACGTCATGCAAATCTCGATTACCTAATTTTCAAAGTTTCTTACAACAAGGTGGCTTAAGAAACCGCGAGGATAAAACTCGGGACGATAAATGGTGCGATTCCGGTGTTCTCGACTTTACCTTGTCCCGTTGTACTTGTCGAAGATTATTTTTTGATTTGTTCGCAATTTTAATTTGCAGATTTAGCAGTCGTAACTGATGCTCGAATACTCGCATCTGGCAAGGTCCGGAAGAAAGTGATTGTCAGTTCAGGTTGAAAGTTAGCCGTGACCGCCTACGTCTAGTCGGCGCGGCGGAGCAATTTCCGGTTTGGTATTTTCGGATCGATTTGCAACCCCTTTTCTCTCTTACGAGGCACCGCGCACCGACGCGATACAGCGCCGTTTGTCGTGCGCTAGTGTACATCGAGAATAAGAGTCACCCTCCTATACACCGAATCCCCTCGTTCAATTTTACCGCGTGCCGATGGGTAACAGAGATAGAAAGAGCCCAACGAGACTGCGAAACAAAGAAAAACACATCCAAATCAGAGAAAGGGACGGTGAAACGAACTGCTGCCACTGGAGAGATGAAGATGAACAGGATAGTTGACTTCCAAATGGATATTAATAGTTGCGCACTCGTAGCACTCTGGCGACGGTGTCCGTCTTCCTCTCTCTGGATCGTCGTCACCGATTACTCTGTTACAGATGTTATCCTTGATTAAAACTCCCGGCCCGATGCGGTGTTTTAAAGGAAAACGAGTCCGGTCCCGAGAGAAACGAATACGTACGTATACAGTGTTTACTGGTCCATTGATATAAATTGAACTACGGTGGATTGGTGTAAATGAAGCTGACACGGGAAACCGGTTTACTCTAGCTAATTGTTAACGCAATAAACGAAAATGTGGATGGTCCGTCTTTGTATCCGCGTAAACAACTAATCGACCGCGATAGCCTCAGAGAGAGGAACTACTACATAGTACGGAAATATAGGCGTCGCGCGTCGCGCGTCGCGTCGATTCGGCGTCGAATAGGCGTCGAGGTTCGCTTCCGATACAGATTCCAATACGATTAAATCGGGCTACCGCTTTCGAGTCGCTACATTGGCTGGTATGCAAATTAGCCGGTGCAATTAGCCAGTAACAGGGGACCAATAAAAGTATCGTTAATCCTCGCTGGGTGTTCTCCGTCCGAGCGACAATTGCACCAAGATACGATAAACCTTTAGCTATTCTGTAATAACAATTTTTCGTTTATTTGTTTGCGCTCACCGATACGAAATCAATTTAATTTATACGCGATGCTGTTTATCGTTTCGCTGCACACATGAATCATCGCGCGAGGGGACGTTGTCGGGAATCCAGGGAAAAGTTGTCCGATCGGTGGCTATAATATACATGTATACATATGTGTGTAGATCGGATCGTCACCGAGGGAGCATTCCGACACGTTCACAATTGCGTTCGGTCGCGGATTACAAGGAAAATCACGCGGCTTGGAATCGGGCAAGTTCTGTTGCGAAACCAAACACGCGT